TCTTAAAAAAAGTTTTGGGTTGTGAAAGTGTTAAATATTATTTCTATTGATAATATTGAAGATAATGATTATTTGAAAAGAAAAGATATGTATCAAAAATTTGATGAAGAATTAAGAATTAATACTGAAAGGAAAATTTATTTTAAAGAATTAAAAGAAAAAGAACAATATAAAAACAATATGAGAAATTATAATAATATGATAGAAGAATTAGAACAACAACTTTATAATGATAATATGGAACAATATTACGATATGATAGAAGATATTAATGACAATTCTGAAATTAATACTAAAGTAACATATGATAAAGAAAATAAAATATTTTATGCAGATCTCAGATGTGGTTTTAAAGAAAAATTAAAAAGAATCCAATTGGTAAGAGAGTATTTTAACAATTTAATAAAATCAACTCCATCAACTACCGATATACTTTATAATTATCATTTTAGTCAAGATGGATGGAAATCTTATATGTTAAATACTCAAGACGCTATTGATAAATTTCTTAATTTTGTTTCTGATAAATCCATGTGTTTTATCAATAAACAAGAAGTAAATGTATCTATTGATTCTAAGTTTTATATTCAATAAACTATTCCAGAACCACTATTCTTACTTGAATTAAAAATTTCACCATACTATTATACTGAAGATTTTATTCATTAATATAAAACTACTGGTGGTTCTTTCTTCCTATATAGATATAAAGAAGAATTCAGTATATTTGGAAAATATCTTTCTAAAGCACAAATATTTAGTTCATTATTTGATAAAAATGGAAAGGTTAGATCAGAATTTGATTTAAATTGTTTCTGTTATGCTTTAAAACAAGCTAAAGTTGATAATGAAACTTTATAATTAGTATTAATTCATTGTAGAGGAATATATCAAAAAGCTAAATCGTTGAATGAATTATGTAAATCTGCTCATATTAGAATTAGAATTGATAGAGAATGTACTGACAATAATAAAAAACATGATAAAAATTGTTACATTGATTATTATGGTTGCGAACTCAAAGATGCTAAATATAATTTGGAAATGTTTTTATATCGTGATTCGGTTATGAAAGGAGATCATTATTTATTAAATATTGATATTTCTATTACTTCATTTTATCTTAAAAATAGAGAAGAAATGAATAAATGGGCAATTGATCATAATAAAAGTATAAAATCTATGTTTAATAAACAACGATATAATAAAGATAAACAATGTTATGAAGTTAAAGATAAAAAAATAGTTCTATCAAATTATCTGATCTTATTCTATATATTAGAGATCATAATGGATTCGAACCATATTCTCTTTCTGATGTTTTACATTTGAAATCAGATTTATCTGAATATGTATTACAATCATTAAATACACTTGAATATTTCCCTTTTGAAACAAGAAATATTGAAATCAAAGAAAATAAACGTAAATTTGCTGAACAATCTTATTGGTATGCCGATTTTGAAGCTAGTACACAAGGATATCATAATCATATTGTGTTTGTTATTCTAAAAGAGGTGAAGATAAGATTTATAATAAATATGAAAAAGATTGTGTTTATGATTTCTTATGTGATTTACCTCATAATGCTGTTTGTTATTTTCATAATCTTAAATATGATGGCTCATTCCTTGCTAAATATGTTGTTAATAGATGTATTAAGAAAGGCGGTAAAATCATGCAAATGACTCTTAAATTCCAAGGTAAACAATTAACTTTTAAAGATTCTTATACTTTAATCTCTACATCATTTGCACCGTTTCCAAAGATGTTTGGTTTATCTAATATTCAAAAAGAGATCTATCCATACAATTACTATAATAAGGATAATATTGAAAACAATTGTGGTAATTTTTTCGAAGCTGATAAATATGAAACTAATCAATGGACTAAAGAACAATTCCAGTTATTTAATGAAAATATTGATAAAATTGAGAATTGTCGTATTGATGAATTTAAATTCGATATGAAAGCTTATTGTGTATTCTACTGTAACCAATATGTTAGAATCTTAAAACAAGGTCATTCTAAATTTAGAGATGTGTGTTTAGAATATTTAAATATTGATGTCGATAAAGTAATTTCAGCTTCTTTAGCTAATACTTACTTTAAGCAAAATGTATATTCAAAAATAAATAATTTAAAAGAATATGGTGGTAAAGTTAGAGAATTTATTCAAGGAGCTATTTATGGAGGAAGATGTATGACTAGAGATAATAAAAAGTGGTATGTAAATGATGAATTATATGATTATGATGCTTGTTCATTATATCCTTCAGCTATTAATAGATAAAAATTAGCAACCGGTTCTCCAATTGTTATTCCTGAAAATATGTTATCTAATGATTATTTACTTAATCACCTTATGGAAGAACAACAATTAGAACCTTCAGAATTAAAATTTATTTCTGCTTTTCTTGTTGATATTGATATTACTAAAGTAAATAAGAAATTACATTTCCCATTAATTGTTAAAAAAGATAAAACTGGTAATCATAATACTAATGAACCTTGTGTTATGAGAGTTGATAATATATTATTAGAAGATCTTATTAAATTCCAACAGATTGAATATAAAATAATTAGAGGTTATTATTGGACTGGTAATAAGTCTGATTTATTATCTAACGAGATGTCTAAATTGTATAATTTAAGAAGAGATTTTAAGAAACAAGGTAATCCTGTACAAGAAGTATTTAAATTAATTATGAATTCATCATATGGTAAGACTATTCAAAACCCCATTAAATCTGATTTTGTTTATAAACAAATATCTGTTAAAAATATTAAAGGAGTTATTCAATATGATGCTGATAGATATTTAAGAAAGAACTCGTTATTAGTCAAATCATTTTATGATGTTGCTGAAAATATTAGATGTTTTGAATGTAATAAAAGTTTTGATGATTTCTTTGTTCCAAATCTTATTGGTGTTCAAACTCTTACTATGTCAAAACGTATTATGAATGAAGTTATGTGTTTAGCAGAAGATCTAAATATTCCAATTCATTATCAAGATACTGATAGTATGCACATATTAAAATCGAGAATTACTGAATTAGAATATGAATATTTTTAAAAATATAATAGAGTACTTAGAGGTTCTGATATGGGACAATTTCATCCAGATTTTGATGAATTAACTGGTGATGTTACTAGTATTGAATCTTATTTCTTAGGTAAAAAGGCTTATTGTGAAAAATTATCTAATGATAAGAATGAAGTCGCTCATCATCTTAGATTAAAAGGTATTCCTGATAATTTATTAAATTGTCAATATGAAGATCCGTTAGAATTATATAAGAAACTATATGATGGAGAATCATTTAATTTTAATCTTTTACAACTTAGACCATCATTTGAATTTACTAAAGATTTTAGAATTAAATCAAGATCTCAATTCTGTAGAAATATTAAATTTAATACTGAATTGGGTTCATTTTAAAAATATAAATGTCTCTTTCAAGGAACAGAATTATCTAAATTTTTTAATACTTATAAAGATAAAATAGAATATGCATATAATAATAGAGAAAAATTATATGGTGTTCATTTTAATACCGACTCAAAACACAATTTAAAAAATTTTTTATTCTGGTATTTATAATTATTTTAATATTAGTAATAATAGAACACAAAAATTATTAGATGAAATATATGTTATATACATTAATAATAAACAAAGTATAAATACAAGTATAACTAAAATGTAAGTTCCAACTGGTTGTCATGAAATTAACAAATATTCAAATACACCTAAATCAAAAGATAAACAAATAATTCAATCTACAGAATTAGAATTAAATGCTGAAATAAGACCACAACCAACTATTAATCCATGTGGTTCAACTACCACCATAGCTACTTATCCAAACACAAATTATATTAAGAAAGATGGAACAATTAAACAATGATTTAATGTAGATATGAATCAATATGTTTTATCATTAGATGAAAATATATATACTTATTTTAATAACAAAGATATAATTTATGCAAATAATTTTAAACCATCTCCGCCTAAATATTCATTTTATAATAAAAATTTTGCTTATAAATTTGTTGCAATACCAAATACTTATATGTTTGATATATTGTATTTTTCTGATAAATATAAACGAGTATCTCAACAAAAATATGATAAACCATCTGTAAAAATAGATTTTGATCACAGAATACATAAAAATACTCAATTAAGCCCTTATCTTATTGGCATTAATGTTAATACTAAATATAGTTTTTTATTAAAATTGAAGATAAATCTACTATTTCAATAATTGAAGGTTTTGATAAATTATTTGAACAAGGTTTAATTATGAATAATTTATTATTTGATGGAGAAAGAAAAATATCTTCTTTAGAATTTGGTGAATATGCAAATAAACACAATTTTAAACTATTTGTTACAGCACCTAAGATACATACAAGTACAGCATTGATTGATAGATTATGTAGAACTATTAGAAGGTTATACGTCAAATATTATATTTAAAATGATGATGAATATAAAAATATAATTAATTCTAGATCATTTCAAAACATGAAACGAAAAGAATTACTTCAATACATGACTAAAATACATAAATTATTTAATGAAGGAGATAAATCTAAAATAACACCAACACCTACTACAGAAGAAATTTATAATTTGGTTGAATATTATAATAATAGTTGTCATAATGGTTTAGTAAAAATAATTCAAGAATGTAAAAAATTATATAATTTTTATTATATTGATCCAAAATATAAAACACCAAATATGATACAAAATGATAAAATGTTAGATAGAATAATTATATCCTATTGTCAACATTATAATCAAAAAATAAGAAATAAATTAAAAAAATCAAAATATGATTTTGACATTGAGGAAGATGTTATTTTATTTGATGTTGAAGATGGAAATTTAAGAAAAAATAATAAATATATTGATTCTAAAAATTGGAAAATTTCCTTTCCTTATGGAAATAATTATGAAATTTATAATGAAGATAATGATAATTACGAATCTAAAATTGTATCCAGATATTTATTAGAAAAGACTTTTAGAATACATGATTTATAAATTATTTGACTTCAAATTTTATTTTTTTTCATAATAAATGAGTAAAGAATTTTACGATAAAGGATATAGCATAACAAAATTAGCACCAAAAATTGATAGTTTTGGAACTAAAAGTGGATATGATAATCAAGATGTTATCGATTTTTCAACTATGGAACCAGATAAAGTTAGTGCTAAATATCTAAATTTAGGTGGTACAGATCTTGTTGGTGATAAATATCAATTAAAATACAATAAAGAACATTTAGACCCAAAAGCTTTTCGTGTTTATTGTGCTAATAATAATTTAACTCCTTATAAGTATGATTTGGATGGAGATCAAATAGATGATTATGTTGGAGTAGACAATACAAATCATATTAAAGCTTTTAATGAATTTTATGTTTCAAAACCAGGTAATTCACAAAGACCATATCAAAAGAAATATTATGACCAAT